AGCGATGCGCTTGAGAGCCTCCCTGCAGAGCGCAGTGCTGTGTGCTCCTAGCTCGGCAGCTTTTGCGCCATCTTCCCCATCTGTATTCCCTCTGCATTGTGTGGAATTGATCTCAGCTGCCTTCCCCTGACTTCTGGCTTCCTCCTGTGCTCCTCGGGCTTGGCAGCATCAAGATCCCAGCTCAGATACAGCCAGCAAGCAGATCTAGACAGCTGATGGGGCCAGGGCAGGTCAGATGTGTTTTGTCCAGACATTTAATGTCTGAACAAAAGGTTTGTGCAACAGATAAGAAACACTGGCCTGTACACCTGCTGTAGAAGGCGGGCATCTCAGATGTCTGCCAGCCTCCCGGTCATCTCCCTTTTCGTTCCTGGAGCGAGGCTATTTGTGCCCCACTCTGCCTCCAGGAGTCACAGTGAACCTCAAGGAGACAGGAGCCACAAGAGCACGGAGAACCTGTGACCAAGATGCAGTCTGGATGTCATGCCTATCTCTAGGAGTCTGCTCTGCTTTGCAGGGTAGAGGCTCCACCCCAAGTGACACGGCTTTTGCTGTCACAGCATGAGCACCCCAGATGAGAACTCTGCCCACCTGAGCCTCCATGTGTGCCCACCCCAGAGTCTGTTTCTGAGCGCTGGGGCTTTCTGCAGTGCCCTGCTTCAGTGCCAGGGCCCCTGGTGGCTGGCTCCTGGGAGCACAAGTCACTAGACAGCACCCCAAGTACTGGACAGCATGGCTATTTTTAGCATCTGTCCCCAATCTTACTTCACCCTATTTTCTCCCCCAGTTGCCCTACTTTTTTATATGTATTTATTTTTGCAGAACCAGGGATTGAACTCAGGCCCTTGCACTTGCCAGGCAAATGCTTATTCTACTGAGCTATCTCCCTGGCCCCAGCCCTATCTTCGTAGGACTTCTTCCAGGTCCTGCCTCTTTTCCGCCAGCCCGGTGATGAGTCTTGTTCTCACAGTGCTGCATTCTGAAACACAACGCTAACGGATCCCAAATCCATTCCCGCAGGTGCCTGATAAAGCCACTCCGAGCCTACAACTCCAGGACAGGACCACGGACAGCTCCATCCTGGGCCCGAGAAAAGTGGCGACAGGGTTGACTTCAAGCGCCAATCCTTTTTTTTTAAATTAATTTTATTGAGAAAGAAATAGCAATGAGGCAGTTTCAAAACAGGTTAGTAGAGCAGTTACAATAATTAATACACCACATATTGTTGTCTTCATAGTAGTTATTCATAGTACAAGATGTAGACATGATATCTTGTCTAAACACTATTAGTAAAAATCTTTCTTCTCATTGAACTAAGAGAAAGTAGCTGTATATCTATTTGAACTATTTTTATGTGTGTATATATAGATTTATCATATATTATTCCTACCATTGAAAGTCCATATTATAAATTCAATAAGCTATACAATTACATTGTAATTGGCATGAAGTTCATTTTATTGAAAAATCACTCTTTAGGTATGTTATACTCTTTGCATAATGGCATCATTTTTATTTTTAAAATCTGATTAAAAATATACTTTGAACATTTTGACACGAAGCACATTATAGGCAGCCAACAGGAGTTCGGCCGGAGCGCTGGGCGTATGAGGTGCAGCCAAGGGCGGCCCGGGCTAAAGCACCGTGATCCCTCCCCACAGCCGTGCGCCTGGTCCCTGAGGCCTCGGAGACCCACGCAGGTCCCAGGAGACCGCACAGCTCAGGGCAGGGGGAAGCTGGTCTCTGCAGAGAGCCTAGCAACTTCGAGGGTAGTTCTCCCCCTACTCTCCACGCTTTACCTGCCTCCTTGGAAATCTCCAGCCCTTGAAAGGAGCAAGGAGTTGACGGGCTTCTCCCCCTGCATTGCCTCCGCTGTGTGCCTGAGGTGGGGGACAGCGCCCCAGGGTGGCTGTTACAGGACGACACGAGGGGGCGTGCGCAGTGGGGTCACCTCAGGTCCCCCACTTTCAAACAGTGACATTTTCATTCTATCTAGTGTCATCACTCTCCTCCTTCAGCTAGAGAAGATATGCATAAGATTTATTTAAATCCTGAATAAGTTCTTTTTTTTTTTTTTTTTTTTTTTTAATGCCATGAAGCACTGTGGCATGAACAGTTTTTTCCCTTTTCTGGAACATGCAGCAAACTTAATTTCTTAACACATTTTCCCTGGATTATTTTCTGTATGACATCTTACTGTTTTCTGCTAGCTGTCTTTTTGTCCAATATAGAAGAAAAACCATAATACTTATGTAAGAGTACTGTGAAAGCAGACTTCTGACAAACCCCCTTTACAAGGTACATTGTTCCAGAGTGTTTAAGTAGAAAACACAGAAACACTATACAAACCTATTATTACATTTGAGAAATCATTACCTTCAAAGGAGTAATAACAGTATGCTATTAAAACTGTGAATACATTTTCCGTATCTGTTTTGAAAAAAACTTTATAAATATGTAAATTTCTGTTCAACAAATCCAAAATAAAATGCACTAAAAAACTGATATGTAGACAAAAGTTTATTTACACCATACAACATTTTAAATATTTTATACACAGCTGCAGCAGAGAAAGCTACTCAGAGCTTTCTAGAGAAACTGCAATAATAAAGATGTGAAATATATTATTCATATAAAAGTGAGATTATTACTTTATTGCATTTAAAGCAATGAAGAATGTAGCTCAACAAACATTCATTTAATGACAAAAACTTTGCTTTTATATTATAAAGTAAAAAGTGTAGTAATGGCCAAACAGACTGTTATAAACTTTAAAAACTGCATAAATATATACATTGTGCTTCATGGTGAAGTTTTTTGAAAACTAAACCATATGAAGCGGTTACAACATGAATCGTTGCTTGAGGTTTATCTATAAAGATTACCTTACAAATCCATTCCACGGGTACTTACAGCACAGGGTGGTCAGAACTGTACACCTGGTCATCTCTCCACTTGCCACACTGGGGAGGCCTTGACCAGACGAAAACACCACTGACGGTTGGCACGTGAAAGTCCTCTTTGGGCTGTCACACTGTCCAGATAGTAATGTCAGGCGCCCCAAGCCTCTAGTGTCAACGCATGATGCATGAAAATGTCGTGTCTTCACTTCAGTTCGTTTGATAGTCTTAAACTTCTGTTTGAAAGTCACCCTCTTGCACATCCAGAGGCAAATTCAGACACTTTTCCCACTCAGCCGGCCTCAGTTCTAAAGCATCCTTTGCCTCCGTGTCTAAGACATTGATTGTGGTGTAATGTTGGTATTCGCTGGGGGCTTTGAAAGTGTCCCATGGATTCTTGTTTGGTGCTGGGTTTTCCTGGAGGAAAGAGAGAAAGACAGTCACACATTTCATGATTAGGGCTGCTACTTGTTGAATTTTCTGGGAAGAGAGTATTTTTATAACGTTAACTCAGTTTATATGATTCAGAAGCTGTGATAGCTGCAGGAGAACATTCTTTCATTGATTGACTGATGAATAGCATCTTTGAGGAATGCAACAGTTTTGCAGGGGCAAGTAAGGGAACAGCTCCGCAGAAGGCAAAGCTGACGCTGCTATGTCTCAGGTATCAAATGAAATGTCAGTAGGCCTGTGTGTCCAGGTAGCGAGCAGGGCTAAGTCGCTGGTAAGATTAAATGTAGCAAGCTACGTGTTGTGGCAGAATCCTAGTGAGATAAACAAATGTGAAGATATTTTGTGAGACATATTATTTAATAATTTAAAAAATTATTCAACCTAGCAGTATTATTAAAAAAATGTATTTTTTAGATTTTCTTTTCATGCAGGGTCTCACTATGCAGCTCAGACTCGTAGGGATCCTCCTGCCTGCAGACTCCCTGCGGCTGGGATTGCAGGCACACCATCATGCCTGGGACTCAGTCACTGCCTCACATGCCTGAGGATGGGGCCAGCATGACATGTGGTGTCAGGGATCAAACCCCAGCCCCCGTATTTGCCTAAGCAGGCGCTTAGTCTGCTGAGCTATCTTGATGGCCTTTATAAGAAACTTTAAAACACTACCTTTGCTTGGGTTTTCTCAAGGGTTATCCTTTTAGGAACACTTGCATGCTGTGACATTCTCTTATTTTGTGATTCTTCTTTTTCTCTTCTTTTCTTTTCCTTAACATTCTCCAAAGTTTCTGTATCAGTGCATGGCACCGTTGGTCAACCAAATTCATTCTTCCCATTAATACCACAGTTTTGTGGAAACATAAGCACAAAGTGCCTCTCAGAATGCCCTATGTCCACTATCCCTGAGGACACTGATAATGCATGTCCCCTTGGTGTCAAAGATTCTAGATTTGTCTGGTTGTGACTTCATGAAGAGCTGGCATCCTATAAACGCTCAGAAACTACTCAAATAACCTCCTGTTGAGGCTCTCTTGCCTGATATTTTGTAAGATTAGCAATGAGCACGTACACAGCTTTTTTTGGTGTGGTACTGAGGACTGCCCCAGAGCCTTCACACTGAGCTACATCCCCTGTTCTTATTTAACTCAGAGGCAGAGTCTCACTGAGTTATTCAGTTGCCTGCATTGCAGTAAAATTTGTGAGCTTCCTGCCTCAGTCTCCCAGAGTGCCAGGATTATAGGCATGGGTCATGACAACAACTCTACTTTGTGCTTTGATTTCTGCCTGGCAGAAGAATTTGAATTAGTTAAAATAAGCTCAGTACTATTAAGGAACACAAAGTAAGTTATGTCTGAAAGCTCTTTATGAAAAAAGTTAAATTAAAATAGTAATGCAAAAATGATGGATACTAAACCATGTATTGGCTAAAAGCTGAGCTTGTTTAATTGCAAGAGGAAATGCCAAATAAAAGTTGTCACTTTATACAGCTCAGGTTTTAATTCAATACAGAGATTCACTTGAATTAATTATCTGTCACAGAGACAGTTGAACTTGGCTTCCCCCAAAGTTTTATACTTTTAACTTTATCCCATGCTTTAAGTATCTATCAGCTTGGGCTTCTAAATGTGTACATTTTCTATGTTATATCAATTATTACTATATTTTCTTTAAAATAAATTTTTCATATCCCAACAATTTGATCAAGTCTTAAAAGTTTTCCTCTTAGAAAACACTACCTTTTAACTTCTACTAGTCACTGAGTTCTATTAAAGAATCTTTAAAAGGGTCAAAATTCTAACATTACAATTGTATTCTCATATTTTACTATAGAAAGCCACGCTTAATGAGGACACCATAGCTGTTGAATGTGTCTTCTTTCTTCCCAAATCAATCCTTCCCCTGATTATAACAGATTATCAAGTAAAATAAGACAGGTACTTCAATTAGTGTCTGCAGTCCACTCAGTGTATTCAACATGATCTCAGGCCACAGATACAGACACCATTTATAGAACTATTTATCATGATTAGAATGTAATTCACTAAAATCTTCCATGCATTAGCTGTTTTCAGGTTTTCTACTCCTACTTAAGAGATCAAAGAAAAACAGGCAACAGTAAACAGATAATAAAATGCCAGCTTTCAGATATGCTGAGAGAATTAACATTGCTTTAGGCTAACATCCTAAGCCTCAGAAACTGGCCTTGTGCTCCCCATTTCCCACATTTCTTTTCTCCCTCCTTGTCTGATTCCCTTCAGTCAGCATTTGTGCATCAGCTGTTCTGTGCTGGGCACTGTATTAGGCACTAGAAGGGATAAAGCAGGAAACCAGTTATAGAAAAGCAGCGGAGTCTACTAGGAAAGTCAGGATGGAAAGACTGATCTATGCAGACTCAAATTCTAGTTCCTCCACTTCATGGGAATGTGCCCTTAAGCAACTTATGCAGTTTCTCTGAACCTCAACTTGAGGTTCTGCATATGGCACGATGCTTCATGCTTTGCATTGTGGGCCAAAGGAGCTGGCAAAATTAGGAGCTGTTTTATAGAATTACAAGAATCATTATAGAGTAAGGGGCAGTAGAATAATTTATGTTACATTCACTGCTTAGTAACCATACTTAGAATAGAAGGTATGTATTTTAAATGCAAATGTAGAAGCTGTAGAAGATACACTTGTATCTAAGATCCAGAAAACAATCATGATGGGAGTTCAATGATTCTCTCTGAGGGCAAGTGCATAATCCTTTCTTGGGAAGGTGACCTTTGGCCTGGTGGAGAAGGCCGGAATTAAGTATGACAATCCATGTGTGGTCTATCTAGTGGCTGAACAGGCGTCCAAAAATGTTGAAAATCCCCAAGTGCAGAGATGGCGAAGTAATGAGAATAGTGACTTATTTTAGTTGTCATGAAAAGGACACCAGGAGGAAAAAAAAAATGCACAAGGAGAAGGTGAACTGAAAGGCTGATTGTACAGGGTTTTGAATAGAATTTGGAATCATTGAAGGTTTGGGGCATATGAAGGGCCTGAATCATCAATCATCAGCTGAAAGCTTCATGGCTATAGATTCTACTGAGCCAAGTCATGGAGCAGATGTGGCCTGGTTAGACAAGAGCTGTTAAAGGAGTTTCCAGGTTCACTTTAACAGGAAGCACAATTAGCTCAACCCTGCAAGAATTCAAGTACACAGACTGTTAGTTCATCTGTTTGAGAAGTAGATGCTCTATTTAAAAATATGGAGCCCCTACTGGAGCAGGTGTGGTTCCCCTCTGTTCTAGATCTTAAAGATCAAACATCATAGGTAGATAAACTAAGTGGTCAATGCTAAGCTTTGTCTAAATATGTAGATCCCAATTACAAAGAATGTTACTGTCAGCATATGGCCTGTTGACTTTTGGAAAGGTTCTTTTGGTGAGAAAGAAACGAGTTCATAAGGAATTGCTGATTTCACTTGTAGAGCTGCAGAGGCCAAGAAAGGCTTCAGTGGATGCCTGAATCTAACATTAGAGAAAATTCAATGATTGCAGAAGATTCCTCTTGATTGCTATTTGAGCTTAAATACAGAGCACAGTGTGTGTTCAAAGCCTAGTAATTCAAAATTCACGACAAGACAACACACATGGAGCTCGCCAAGACGCTCCTTCAGTCTGAGCCACTCAGCTCTGCACAGGCTGCCTCTGCCTCTCCTGGTGATTCCTGGGTCCAGGAGTGGCCAGCTGTCCCTCCCTTGGGCCACTGTCCTTCACTGTTGTATTCTTTCTCTTTCCTTCTTCATCCTTTTCTGTTTTATTCCTTCTCTTTCTTCTGCATGCCTTTCCACGCTTCATTCTTTTCTTTTCTCCTACTAACCTACCAATGTTTATCAACCAACCAAAAGGAAGTGTGTGGCAAAGTTACTTGGGGGCAGAGTTCGTGGCAGTGGGTGGCTTGTGAGACACATGAAAGAGGGACGCTTCTTCTCTGCATATCATTTAGCAGTGCTTATTCTCTTCTAGTGTGATGCTCAGAAGCAGGATAATGGGCTAAATGGTATTTTGGTTTTCCTTTGATTATCCAAATTCTATTATTTGAGATAATTACCATCATCATCTATTATGAATTAGCAGACCCCTGCACCAAAAAGGAAAAATACTATGAGATATTTTAAATGTCTTTCTCCATCCAATTATGCAATTTTTCACTAACAATGTAGCGCTACAAATTATGTGACTGAATTAACGATAATGAACTCACATATTCATTATTAATCAAAACCGAAGAAGGAATTTTGATTTTTTTTTCCTGTTCTGAGATATTCAGGACAATAGTCAAGTAGCAAGGCCAACTCTATTCTTGCTACTTCTAACCTTCCAAGTGGTAAATATTAATAAATCTCTTCCAGAAAAGGCTGCCATGTGGGGTAATTAGTAGCCTACTTTGTTAGAAAACTGAAATACAGATATTTGTGCCATTAGTGATTTAATAGCCAGACTGCATAACAAGGGAACATTACAATCATATTACAGCAGCATCCAGCTGTATGTCTTGCATAGCCTTTTCGTTGTGTAAACAAACCCTGTTCCCTTTTTAAAAACAAATGTAGTTTCTTCTATTTATTTCAATGTTCACATTCAGTATTCTAAAATGAGCAGCTAATGTGTTTAGGCCTAATCTCAATGGTATAATTCTCATTTGCCTGCTAGCTAAAAATTGATGGCTTAATGTTGGGAGCAGCAGATGAGAAAGAAGCACTTATTATGCGTCCCTGTCTAGAATCTGCTCGGGCACTGTGTGGGAAAAGAAAGAATGCGCGAGTCCTGCTTGAGGGAGAAAAATAGAATGATAGACTCAAGGACTCCTTAAGGGACCAATTAGAGCTAAAGGGTGGAGCATTTTTATAGCTTGCATTTAACGAAGATTAAGACATCAGAGCTGTCCACAGAAGCTAGTTACTGATGACCTACCGTGACCAGCAACGTGTGGTACTGACAGCACAAAAGCAGAGCACGTCCCTAATCAGGGGCTGAGGGTGGTGGAAAGAGCTGTACAGCCAGAGGGATGAATCATGAGTGTTGGATCAAACATCATGCGCTTTACAGTGTGTGCATCCCTTCCCTTCCGTGGTTTTTTTTCCTTCCTTCCTTCCTTCCTTCCTTCCTTCCTTCCTTCCTTCCTTCCTTCCTTCCTTCCTTCCTTCCTTTCTCCTTTCCTTCCTTCCTCCCTTCCTTCTTTCCTTTGCCACCCCTCTCTCCCTCCCACCTTCCCTTTCTCTCTCCCCTCCCTTCCACTTATTTCCTCCCTCCCCTCTCCTGCCCTCCTTCCTTTCCTTGCTTTTTGGAAAAGGGCGCACACCCAAGAGCAGCAGAGTGGGACAAGGCTGCCATATATGGAGTGCAGCCTGGGTGGCACGCCATGGCGGTGTCCCATCTGTCCCTTATAACTGAACCTCAGCTTCTTTGCCTGTTGTTTGCTTTTCAAATTGCTGTGAGGGCTGAAAGAGATGTGGACAGTAGTGTAAATGAATGAAAAAGAATGGTTACAATAGAATCAACAAGCAAAATCCCTGATGTTGATGTGTGTACCAAAGCTTATCAGAAAACATGCGATTCCCCTGGCGGTAAAAACCCACCACCTTGATTTTAGGAGACAAATTCATATTTATAAGATAACTGTATTTTATGGCCTTACAATGGCAGGCATTCAAATGAAAATGGAAAAAATTTCAGCCAACTACTCAGATATTTTAATTAACTGAACTTTAACCCAGATGATAAAATAGCCAGATGAAGCTAACACATTTTGGTAACTAATTTTAATAAAAAAATATAAATCAGAGGGCTTGACATATGAATAAATTCGGGAGATCCTGCCACTCCCAATTTGTCTCTTAGCAACCTTCCTAAAGTACATTTTGGGGGCTTATTACTGTTTCCGCCTATACTAGGCTTGCATCTAAGAGGATCAGGAGCTCCAGACTTCACGCAGGTCTTGTAGGTGCCAGGAACTGATGGAGTAGCGCGAACTCACCATACTGCTTGTATTTGGTATGTCCCGAAATCTGTCCAGAGTCTGAAATTTCTGATTTAGCTCCTGAAACAGCTCCATATGCCTCTTCCTTGTATGCATGACCTTCTGCAAAAGAGGACAGGATGGTTCTCATGCTTAACTTAATTTGTATATTTTTAAGAAGAGGTCTAGTAGTTCTTGATAATCAAGAAAATCAAGTTTGGCTGGAACCAGGAGTCCCAGAAGGTAACACAACATGCACCAAATCCTTAATTCCTATTCCGCACTTTTTGAAAGGGAAAAATAGGGGTTTTTTTCTTCCATCAAGATAACAAAAAAAATTAGGGTTTTTTTTTTTCTTGTGGGTACATTAAAAATATAGTGACCATTCTTGAGTAAGATTTTCATCTCTCAAAATTTTACAAAAATTATTATCACATTTTAAATATGTTTTAAAATTTTAGACTTGTAAAGTACCTGATTCCCTGATGTGCATCATGGGAAATATTACTTTTTTATGTTTATTGCTATAAACACTAAAATCCAAACTGGCTGTACTATCGGGGACATGAAATCCCAGCCCCTACCATTAAGGCTGACTCAACAACTAAAGCTTTTGAAATCTGTGTCTGATTAAAAACTTGCTTTTTTCAAATGAATACTGATTGAGCTTCAGAGAAGTAAAATTGGACCCACAGGTTTCACATATTTGTTTATGGGGTGGTACCAAATCTTAACAACGTAGAGGTGCAGCACAAGTTGTGTGGTTATGTGCTCCTAAAATTAGCCACAACAGGTACACGCTCTTCACCCTGATTACTTCTTTTTCCTCCAATTTTCTTATAACTTAGAAAATGAATCAGAAATAAAAGTCATCCTGGGTAAATACCATGGGCTGAACATTTAAAAGAACATGAATGATGGGGCCAAGGAGATGGCTCAGTGGAATAAGCGCTTCCCTGGCAAGCGCAAGGACCTGAGCTCAATCCCCGGTTCCAAAAAAAAAAAAAAAAAAAGAACATGAACGAAGAAGGAGTTCTATTCTATGTTTCTTGTATTTACAAGTGCTGTTTTAAAGGAGAAAATGTCTTGGTCACTATTGACTTTTTAAAGTTGTACATCAGTACTCTGATGATTGTCCAAGACCTTATACCTTCTTGTTTGCAGAAGACCTTCCAGCATGTTACAGCATGGGTTTCAGAACTCACCACTGCTCAAGGGGCTTGCGGAGGTAGATGATAGCTACGCCTGTGCTATGATTTGCACATTTGGTCGGCTGTTTAAAGTAACAAATATTTTTGAAAGTAAGGATTTGCTTTGACAAAGAATATCTCTTTGGAGGAAAATCATAATGTTTGATTTTATTATAAAAAGACACTTTTAGTGAATACTTTATTTTCTTAAGGGAAACAAGAGCAAAAAAGGGGCTGGTGAGATAGCTCAGCAGTCTAAAGAGCCTGCTTAGGCAAGCACCAGGACCACAGTCTGATCCTCACAGGCAGCACCAGCCCCACCCACAGGGCAGGCTGGGCTGGCTACAAAAAGAAAAAAAAACCAGCAAAACAGACAGACAAATTGAATCTTTGACACATTACAAAAGCCTATCCTCTCCTATGAACTCTTTAATTTCCTATATTTAATGATTTAGACAATTCGCTGCCAGGCTAATTTCTTCTCTTTTCACCAGCCCACATTAGGCAGCGAATTCTGCCTTTTTAGGTCTTGCAATAGCCAATCTCTCCCTTCGCACCCTTCGTCTCTAAGAGTTGGCTGTTGAATAGTCAGGTGGCTGAGGATGAGAATGTGGCTCTGTTGCTCGGGATGGAGATATGAAACACAGCAAGCAATTTCAGAGTGATTAACTTCCCCTCAGTCTTGAGTAAAGTACACGAAACAGATTTGCAGAGAAACATCAGGCAAGCACACTTTGACCAGTGATGGCTGATGGAGTTTTATGAGAGGGAGGATTTGCATAAGCAATTCAATGGAGAGAGTTGGTGACTTCGTAGTTGGCAAATGTAATTCAGCACATTCTGTACCTGGGGGAGGCTGAACTTTATGCTGTATCAGGCCCAGAGATACTTAGTAAAACATAGCTTTCTGTCACAAGGCATTCTTACAAAGGATCTATTGTTAGCTACTGGCTCTGCCACAAACAAAACACCAAACAAACAAATAAACAAACTGTATTTTCATAGTAATGGATCTTAACACAAGAGTTGAGTTTGTTCTGTGGAATACTAGGAATGACGTTACACTGCTGACATTTCTCTAGGGATCTTTCATTGTGTCATTTAATAAATATTTATCAATACTCAATATCCTGCTACATATCAAAGATAACAATAATGAAAAATGCGGTTGAATTACTACTGGCCTCTAGTAGCTTAAAATCTATCAGGACATAGGCATTAGTTGCCTAATAATTCAAATAAAATGTTTATTGCTGTGATACAGAAAATCTGATTTGGCTATGGGAATGAAAAACTGCTACAGTAAATGCAAATAAAGCAATCCATAGATCTTTTCTATATGAATAAGAATTTGAGGTGAAAATTCTTAAGTTAATTATTCCATGATCTTTTTTTTTTTTTTGGTCTATTCTCTCTTCCATTTTCTAGAATTCAGAGAATTTCTATTTCAATTTTCAACACGATGCCTAAATTCCCTCTCCTCATTAAGATTTTCTAAGCTATCTGTATCAAAGGCAAAAATGCTTAGCTTAGTGGGCACCTGATGTTTGTTTTCTATGCAACCTTCATTTGACCTTCATCTTGTGAGAGAGTCCTCACTGTGTTTGGGGGGGGGGGGGCTTTTACTTCCTATGTTTCTGGCAATGCCAACCAAAGTTTCCACAGTTCCTGACCAAGAGCTGAATTATTCCATATGCTTCCAAGAAACTTCTTTTGTTTGTTAGCAAACTCGTTTCATAAATATTTTTCAGTCCATAACCTCTATTACATAACATAGGTTTAATATACAAAGCAAGGGTCAACTGTGTCCCACTGGAAAAGAAGGTACATTAACTGATTAGAGGTTTTATGATCATATTCTGATCCAATAAAGCAATACTGATTCTAAGTGGATGGATTTCATTTTGAGGAGTTGGATCACTAGGATTTATTAAAATATACACACGAAAAATACAAGGTTAGAAATTGTTCCTCATATTGTATAACCAAAAAGCTTTTTGAAATATCTCACTCACATAAGCTTACGCAAGCTGTTCCAAATGAAAAAGCTCGAACATCCCAATGTGACTTGGGAAACAGGGGAACATTTGGATGCTAATATGTGAGTCCTTTCCTACTTAAAAAAAAATAATCACAAATATATTCTCCTGCCAGATAATCATTCTAATTTAAAATTGTCAATTTGGTACTGCCAGAAATCACCACAGTGATGAAAGCCTGGAATTATGGCAGGACGAGCACATCAGAGTGGCTATTGACAGCTTGCGTCTCTGACGTGGGCTCGGTGTGCTTTTCCTCTGTCCATAGACGTCCTGCAGCCTTTGGAATGAGGCAGGTTTCATGGACCAGAACGCCACCTTCCCAGTGAACGCTGGGGGCTTTCCAGCCCACCAGCACTCTGAGATAAAACCTTGCTGCCACTTCAGTTTTCACAAGTATGAAAGGTTTCTTCCCTGCCTCCATTTATTTTTATGAGTATTTCTTGGTGGTACTCTTATCTTTGGTGGTCTTAACTACTTAGACATTTTCACTGCTGTAATATGTATTAATCCACGTCAATGACTATTTTTGGATCTTAATCTTGACATATATGCTTACGGTGTGTGTGTGTGTGTGTGTGTGTGTGTGTGTGTGTGTGTGTGTTTTGAGCATCTGGTTTCCTGAAGACCATGATTTCTGTGGAAAACCCAACTCAGAACTGAGTTTTTTTTAAATCTTGAAATGATAATAAAAAGGTCACACATGTGTCTTTTTGTTTTCATAAAGGAAGACATATTCTGGCAGTCAGTATCTATAGAATTAAAGTTCCTTTCATTATCATGCCCATCAAATACTGCAGGTATCCTTTGCAATAAAGGAAAGTGCATGATAATCTTTCTTTCCATTCAAATTAACATCACTTAGCAGTTTGTTTGCAATTATGTATGAAATCTTACCCCCAAATGACTACCAAGCTAAATGCATGAGAATATTCTCACCTTAGCAGCTTATTTCAGAGGACTCTTTTCTATCAATTTACATTTTGTAATTTAAGAGAGGCAGTCTTTCAACCCTTTAGTTGTAGTAGCGAAAAAGTGTTATGCTATGAAGCACTTTCACATATTTCACATCTTAGGGAAAAACCTGAATGTCCTTAGTATACACTGTCCCTTGAGAACGCTCATAGGCTCTTCAAATACTTGAAGCATTGCAATTCAGCTACACCTGGACATTTTATATTGAGATCTCAGTCTCACCATTTTTTTAAACTTATATATTTGGTACAGGGCTTCGCTACACATCTCAGACTCATAGTGATCCTCCTGTCTCAGCCGCCCCAGTGTCAGGATCACAGTGTGTGCCACCACGCCGTTTCAGTGGCTGGCTCAGTGTGGCCTGGCATGCCATGAGGTACTGGGGATTCAACCCAGGTTCTTGGGCATGTCAGGCAGGTGCTTAGATCACTGAGCTACCTCCCTGGCTAGTCCCACCACTTCTGAGTAGTGTAGTCCTAAGCATAAAATCCAATTTTCTTTGGGTTCAATTTTAGCAATCAGACTTAATTTACAAGGTTATTTTGAAGATTTTAAAAGGGATATAAGACATTTATCACAGGATCACTTTGATAAGAGGCTCTTAAGAGATGATGGTTATTATCTTTGTTAATACTTACAGGGCCAGGGAGATAGCGCAGTAGAATAAGCACTTGCCTGGCAAGTGCATGTGCCTGAGTTCAATCCCTGGTTCCACCAAAAAAAAAAAAAAAAAAAAAAGTCCTTACAACAACCCTGTGAGGTGAGAGCCACCATCTTCATTTTATTGATTTAGGAACTGCAGCTCAGAGAGGACAAGTTTCTTCAGTTCATACAAGAGAGCTAAATTCTTTCTGAATTCCAAATCAGCTCTCTAAGCTATGTCCAATAGATTCAGAAACCATCCTCCCTGGACTATTCAGGTTTGTAATTATGCCCTGTTCAGATAGAAAATGAGAAAAAACAGTCTTAGATATGTTAGGTACCCTCTGTAATGAGCCAATGAACTCTATGGATACTGAGTACCCTGAAACTATCTTCTAATACTCCAATTACCTCAGCAAGGCCTCATCACATTGTGTGGACATCTACCTTTCAGGCAACGATTTGACTAATCTTTGTACTCTTGATACTTGATATGGTATCTGATATTCAATGAGTGCTTAATAAATGTGTGCTGAATAAATTAAGTGAATAAGGTAATAGAGGTATCCAGGCAGGTGAAGCACCTGCAACATGGAGGGCTATTGCATATCATTCTTCTCTTCTTCTATAAAGGAAGGCTTTCCCTCGCAAGGAGAGCTGTTTAAGGGCCTCAGACAGGACTCCTGCCTCCTCATGCTGACTGAATTGTGTGCCCTCCTCTTATAAGTTTTCTCCTTTAAATTCAGGAGTCTTAATCATGAACTTTGGAATATAGGACTTAAAAGTTATGTGCTTAAAGGACTTTAGAAACCTGTGTGTCTGGAACATCTTTCCCATCCTCAGAATTTTATAGACCCACATGCCATGGTCATACCACTGAGATAAACTTGTGATGGTTTTTCTTCATTACAGTATTCCATGTGAGTCCTCTCTCCAGGGTAGGCTCTTGAGTACTGGTTTTTAACTGAATGTCAAAACTTCTCTTAAGGAATAAAGGCACACTGAAGAATGAAGACTAGTTCTTAAAGTTGTATTGTAAGAGGGGAATGACTTAGGTATCTTTCTTTGGCCAGACTTCCAAAGTGTGCATAAGACCAACTTGAATGATCCCTGACACTATGGTGTCTATGTTCTCCGTGGGTTTCTGTTTGAATATGTATTTATGTGGGCCTCAATCTATACAAAGGATTTGAAAAAAATCCATATAAGTAGCATATTTTTTATGTTGCCATTGTCAATCTACAGCTAACTGCGATATAATGTATGATTTTGCAATTGTTTCAGTTGAGTGCATAAATAATGAGTAATATAAAAATGGCCTATGATGCAGTTGCTTCAACTTTTTGTCCTCCAAAGTGCCTTCTGAAAGTGTCCTGGTGACCTATGGGGTGCACCAATTGCTAGGCTTTAAGGACAAAGGAGGGAAGTGCCTCTTATGAATAATACTTTTTTCTGGGAAATCTTATGCTTTACACTTAGGCATGAATAACAATTTTATCTTGTGTGCCATAGTTCAGCTATACTTGAAGAATTAATATTACATAATTTATCTTACTTGACTAGGTTCCCCTAATTCTTCCAACAGAAACTGAGGCCCCTATGGAGATGGACCACGATTAGTTTGTAGTCTCTTTCTTTCACTCTCTACCCCCATCACTGCCCCCTTGTTGAGCAAGCATGAATTTAGTCTACTCAGTGCTTGAGGCTTGTCAGGAACTTCACAAAAATATCCTGCTTCAAATGCCTCTAGATCCCAATGAAAGAAGGTGACAAAGCTCTCTAGCTTTGGAAGAGAAAAGTTTACAAAAATTAAGTATCTCTTGACACTTCCACTTTTAGTGCGAATTAGACACTGTTATCTATCACAGTTTCTAAATAGGCACCTATAGTTGCATTTATAGGAATTCCTTGAGCTTTGTTTCAACCCAATTTAAGTAACCTGATGAATAATTCTTATTTAACATTGTATAGACTTCTTAATAGCAACATGTTAAAGAGAACTCATATTAGTTAGATGAGCTGTCCGTTGCTTCTCTGGTGTTCTTACTGGTGTTCCAGGAACTCCATCTAGAAATACAGAGTCATCCTTTTTCCTGCTCTTCCATTCTGTGTTCAGTTAAGGACTAAATTCTACCTCTACAGGGTCACATTACCACTCCTCTACTCTACCACCCTCATGAGATGGTCCTTCATGATTTTCTTGCTGTATCACTCACTGTCAATTTGTATTTTAGCTTTCTCTTTTCCCTACCATAATCTAGCCTCCCCATTACTGACATGATATAAATACTTTTTGATATATAGATATTGACCTTATTTTTAAATCTTAGGTTATAACAGCTTTTCAGAGTGAGCTTGCCCTCCTGGGGTGCAAGGCAGGGGCTCCAAGCTAACCTCTCTGTCCGTCCTCTTTCTGCTGAGCCTTGCGTAAGTGAATCTTGCTTTGCACGTTGCTTTCTGAGCATGCCAACTCCCAGGCCATTCCTCCTAAAATTTCCACCTGCAAATTATAATCTCTTTGAGTTCTATTTGACATGGCCATCTTTGCAAGTCAAGTGTGGCTATGTTTGAAATGCCACATCAACAACTCTTCATTTTCTAGACTGTTCTACACTTTAACTTGTGTATCATGGCTATGGTTAACAACTCTTTGTTCAAGCAAACGGGGTTGAAAAATAATTTAGCTTCTAAAAAAATATTATTCATTCAACCAAAATCTTTGGAATATTCACTGTAAATCAGAAGCTCTGCTTGAAGCTGGAAAGGTACTTCAATAGTGCTTTTGGTGACAGAGCACAGAAAGCTCATGATGACATTTTGCTGTCCCATTTCCAGAAAGTAAGAATTAGTATTTCACCATTTTAGGAGTATTTATTGTAGGAGTGCAGAGTTGTTCTGAAGGTTGGCTACACAAAAGGGCTTTTCTCCAGGCAGCACACTAATTAGCCACAAAAGTTTTATGAATATATGAGCTGACAGAATATTTTTATTGCATGTAACCTCTGGGGAGTGTATTAGGTTTAAGGCCGGAAGGGAAGACACTTATAGGAGTTCACAAAGCAGTCTATCACTGGCGAGGTGTCTGAGTCAGTCATCTTCTGGTGAAGTTGGCTGGAAGTGGAAGAATGTCAGGAACCTCAACATAAATTCAGTTAACTCAGCTTGAATTTAAGTGGGTGAGAACCTAGACACTTCTTCAAGGACCATGCACACAATGTAAATTGCATCTGTGTTTAAATCTGGTAAGATTTTTTCTCAACAGCCTTTATGGGATATCTGCCACATTCCTGTAATAGCGTATGGGGCTAGTGGTCAGTAGCACTAGCTGATAAACAAATAGTCATGTCTGAAAGAACACATTCTGATGCCCAGGGTGGTGTGCAGTAACCACAGTAATAACAGAACAATTGTTTGGGTTCTTGAGTTGCAACATTTTAACAGTTCTCCATTGTTAGCAAATAGTTGTTCATATTGTGGTTTAATGTACAGATGTGTAGAATATGATGCAAGAACTGAGGAATCTGATTGCAGTTGCCACAGGAAACTGATCCCTCTCCCACCATAAAAAAAGGATAGTTTTTTTTTTTTTTTAAATGTATTTAGTACAGGGTATACAGGGTCTCACTATATAGATCCGACTCATAGTGACCCTCCTATTTTTAGCCTCCCAAATGTTGGGATTTACAGGGGCGCGTTGCCACAGCATGTGGTGCTAGGGATCGAACCCCAGTTCCTGAGCCTGCCTACGTAGGCACTTTAGTCTTCTGAGCTATCTGGCTGGCCCTAAGGATATAGTTTTTCTAACGGTCCCATGGACATAATATGAAGATTTCTTTTGAGCAACTGGGATTACATAACTGGATGGTTACACTACACCTTGATTTTAGATATAGAATCTTAGTGCATTTTGTCACTAATCCCTAGAAGGTTGATTTATACTTCTTTTCCTTTGTACTAACATAATGATTTGTTGTTTTTGACACATGCACACACACACACACACACACACACACACACACACAATGGAAGGTCCTCTTGTTTTGGCTACCTAAAGCATTAATAGGAACCAAAAAAAGCCCTAAAGTATCTGTTCGTTAAAAGGCACTGAAGTTTCTAAAAGTGTGATTACTGAGTAATTTTATTGGAATTGATGATACTAAGACTTTTATACTAAAACATAGGACACATGAGGTATATATTGTATACCAGCTTAGCACAAATGGAGCTGTATCGTAAACTACTTCAACAGTGAGATGAGATTTACCTTTTAGTTAGAATTATTACCAAGTATCTTTTTCCTTGGATTCTTTTCAGGGTGAAGCCATTGTTTACCATTGTGGTAAATAAAAACAAGTAAGTCTCACATGTGATACATACTGCACATCATAGAGCTACAACAGTCAGCTATACAAAGGAGATGAGTGAACTAGAAAGTTCCATGTTCCAGGAGGGTTCTGTAATTTTGAAAATATCAGTTAAGAGCATTGAGTTCTATGTATGCACCACAAGGGTACAAATGTGCTGGAGAAATTTATACTATATTATAGCCAATTATGTCAGCAGGATATGAATCATATTCAATTATCAAGAAGCATAAGTGCATTTTATGTGATGCCTAAACATCATTAAATTTGTGCTTAAATAAGCTGCTTAAATGGTATGATTTCAGTAGCTCCTAACATCAATATTACAGCACCAATATAGATTCAGTGTAAACTGGAAAATGGAACTCTTCATCTTGTTTATATCTGCAAGAAGACATTAACTAAACACAGGAGTACACTGAACATATACTTCCTACTGGAAGAATGAATCGGAATGTACCACAGAGAAACCAAGCCACAGAACCAGAGCACAGAGCAAAGCCTCCCTAATGCGCCTGTGCATCCTCACAGGATTTTTCCAGGTAGTCACTGATGAAAAGGCAAGACAACCCTCTTCAGTATAAAAACAAAGAAACTAGCGTAGTCTTGACCAAGTTCAACTGCTACGGCTGCCCACTCAGCTTAGAATTCACAAAACAGACTGCTTAGCTATCCAGAGGATCTCTGGTTAGCATTCAATGCAAGTAATTAGAACTTTAATGATTTTATCTACAACTATCTAAACTGCATGGATTCAAATTTAAAATTTTGATTTGTTTAACTGAACTCAGTCATAAGTCCACATAACTGCATAAAGTAATACATTAAATAATTATCAATTTTGGATCATAAACATCATAAAATAATTCATGGACACTTACCTCAAAGTCAAGGTCTGAGTAGCGTGATTTTCTTCTCTGTTAGTTTTTTAAAAAGAAGGAGAAGAAAATCAATAAAGTTGTGTTTGGTGATTCAAACAAAATAAAACCATTATTTTCTTTAAAGATAATCCTACTTATTTGTGTTGTAAATCTTTCTTTCCTATAAAAAAACATTTTCTGATTGTTGATTTCAGAATACTCCAACAACATTATGCCACTTTGACCTTAAAACTTCCTTTAAAATTGAAGCATGTTCATAACAGAGAATATTTTTCAACTTGACATTTTAATCCTAGTTTTTTCACTAAGAAGACAAGTTTCCTGCAGAAAGTCACACAAACATTTTGTTCTTACTTTACAGAGACAGAAGACTAATAATTTTATCAGAATGATAATCCAGGTATCCCAACACCTCTCACCAAGCAATAGTACCAGTGAAATCTCACCAGACATTGTTCCCACTGAATCTACCTAACTTCGGTTGGTCTAAGCCTAAGCCTTGTGTTTATCTAACTGACACATTTCTCCTCCACAATATAAAATTCCTTCAAATTGCTAGCCCTAAGAATTAAAGTATTTAGTCTAATTGAGGAATGCAAATATGAAATACTCCACATTATAGCAAAATGCTTCCCAGAGATCTTCTGTGACTCCAAATCTGTTGAAGACTTTCCAAATCTAGTTATGGATAAACACACATTAATGAAATAAAGTAATTAGGCAGGAGGCCTGTTAGACTCAGGAAACATGATTAAAATGAAATTAATGCCATCTCATGTGATGATCTGATTTTATTCTATTAGTGTGAGGAAGGGCTTCTCAACATCTGCTTGAGGAACCCAGTGGTTCTTGGAGTGGAGGAGATGTGGAGGGAGATGTCTGTTGAACTGTAAAAAGTTCCCCAAACTCGGGGAGAACAAAGTAAAGTTCTAACATGGTTTTTTGTTTAATTTGGATTTAAGTTTTTCCTTAGAGTCGGGAGGAAACACAGGAAGAATGAATAAATATTTAAAATGAATATATTTAGGAAGTTGGAGAATATGGAAGCCTTCTGGCCAAAGTTCTACTTTATCTTTCTCCCTGCTTGCATCTCAGCCCCTACTATCTGAAGTTCCCTGACTTGATGGTGAACCCTACCCAAACAGGTAGGAGATTCTACTCCACTGCCACTGAGGAACGTGAGACAGAAAATGCACTGTATTGAAAACTATGACTACCTTCCTGTAGGCCAAGTTAAGATAGTCACTGTAAAACCGGAACTACTCCTCAAAGGGTGTTGTAATAAACAGAAGGCGATATGCCAAAAGAAAGCTTTGGTTTCTTTTAAACCAAAGGGAATTCTGAAATATTTGTTTATTTTGGGTCAAGCTGCTGCAGGTTAGAATCCAGCCTGTGAGAGCAATGGAGGAGAGAGAGATTGATGCATCCGATGGATGCTCTGCACGTTAATCTCTTTGCTCCTTTCCTCCAACGCTGCCCTGCTGACTCGACTTTTAGAGTTCAAAACATGAAATTTGAGTAACTTTATTGATGTCTACATAATACTGAGACATTGTCACAATCCTTTTTTTTTTTTTTTGTATTTAGGACAGGCCTACAGGACCTCACTACGTAGATGGGACGCGTAGTGATTCTCCTGTTTTCAGCCTCCCAAGCACTGGGATTACAGGTGGGCGATGCCACACGCAGTCTCAATTGCCATCTCAGCGTGCCCTGTGGGCACAGCCAGCAGGGCACGCTGGGGATAAAACCCTGGCCACTGCGCTCTGCCTAAGCAGGTCCTTTAGTCCACTGAGCTATCAGGCCGGCCCTCTCAATCTTTTTTTTTTTTTTTTTTTGGTGGAACCGGGGATTGAACTCAGACCCTTGCGCTTGCCAGGGAAGCGTCAATCTTTTATAAAGTAGTTTCATATTTGAAAATGCTAGAAACTCTGTGGGATGTTGGGAGAAAATACTTATTATCCACACTTTATGAATGAGTCAAACAGAGGACTAGTAGAGTTAAAGTAACTTGCCCCCTTCACGTAGATTGTAAGCAAGAGAGCTAGGACTTAAATTCAGATCACTTGACTCTAAATCCAGCACTATCTCCACTGTCTCTGTCAGTCCCATGGCTCAGGGTTGTATTTTTCAGCCAAGAGGTCTATGATCTTCTGATGGTTGTTCCTGAAAGTTACCAAGGGTAACACTGGATGACCTGGGCAGTAGAGGTACTGAGATGCTTCTAAAGCAGAAAGTAAGGTCAAGTAGTTTAACTTTCACATGCCATTTTTTTTTCTATTTTTTTCTATTTTTAGGGAAGGGTCTACAGGGTATTCAGGGTCTCACTACTAAATCGGATCATAGTGATCTATCAGCCTGCTTACAGCCTCCCAAGAGCTGGGATTACAGGCGTGCGCAACTACGCCCAGTCTCAAGTGTCATCTCAGCGCCCCCTAGGGGCGGGGCCCGGCATGGCAGGTCCAGGGAATTGAAACCCAGACTCCTGTGCCTGCTCCCAGGCGCTTTAATCTGCTGAGCTATTTGGCCGGCCCACCAATTATATTTTGAAGAAGATATCTATTTTGCTGAGAATCTGTGTAAACTAGTTGCAAAATCATTATTGGAGATGGCTTACGCACAATGCAACAGTGAAAAACAGTAGCAGATTTTTCTACCTCCAGACGTGACTCTCTCAAGGCAAAAATCTAGCTGACTTTAAAGAAGTATCCACCATCGGGAAATCTGTTGTGCAAAGGAGGAATCAGAAGAGACTCCTTGGTTCACTTCCGTCTGTTTTGTCTTCTACCATGGACGTAGTGGTAGAAAGTCTTTCATAAACTGTAGGTTGTAGGAAGTCATGGCTGACTCTTGCGTTGATTCAAATGTCCTCTGGGCTTTGTGGAAGCCTGCTGTAATGTTGTGAATGAGGTTGCCCATAATAGTTACATGCTGGAGAAATGAGGACCAGCTAAGAAAAGTGATCAAGCCCTAACAATTTTCCTACTCAGGGGGTGAGTAAGGAAGACACCACACACAAATTTCAAATAAATCGGTGGAACTTAAAATATTTTATGATGGCGTGAGTTCTTCTTCCTACAAATCCCCAATTTCTCGGTAACTTGAAACAAATAACTTTTTGTCAGTGTAGATGGTGCTTCCGCATGCTATTTCTTCTTCCTAATTTCTCGTGTAATACTAACCTCAATTTGCATTCTGTTCTTAACATTAAACTACAATTTTTCTCTTCAAATTTTCTAATGCACACCATTTGGTTCCATACCAAGGTCACGGTTTATCCTCATCTTACCGGACTCTTAGATATTTCTGTAAGTTAATCAGTTCTTCATTAAAACACTCCTCATTTCTCAGTCTTTTCCCCCCCAGTTATCCTGCCTCTTGTTTACTGCAGCTCATTTTCAAGTCTCTTCTGTTGGTTCTTTTTCAAATCCTGCTTTCTAAATGTTGCTGAATATCTTCTTGCCTGTGTGCTATCCTGGATAACATAATCCACCCCTATGATTTTAAATGTCATCTTTTAAGACCCCTGTTACGGTCTGTGTCTAGGTGTCCCCCCTAAAGCCCCATGCAGTCTTGGGGCCGCTTCTGCAGTTTCTGATTTTTGTTGGTGTGGATGCTGTACCTGCCCTGGGGCAGGTAATTTGCATTTCAATGTAAGGAGGGAAGAGAAGTTAGCTGCTACCCCTCCCTTGCGCTCTTGCTCTCCCCTCCCCCCTATGTAAGGTTGTTCTCTGCTGTGTGCCCCTCTGCCTTGGAGCCAGCTGAATATGGACTGAAACCTCCAGTACCTGAGGGTTAAATAAACCCTTCCTTCCTTCATTTTGAGTGTTGGGTATTTGTCCCAGCAACGAGAGAAAAGTAACTAAGGCAACCTCCAAATTGTTTGGTTTCTCATTCCGTCCCATCAAGGAATATGTTGGCTCTCTAGTTAGCCAAGCAAAAGGCTTAGTCATCTTCCATCCCTGCCAGTCCCTTGCCTTCCATATTGAATCTACAAGCACGTGCTATGTGTCCAGCCTCTGACATCTATCTCCACCTTCCCCCTCATCCCCACCTACACCTTTCTGACTGTAACGGGCACTCACACCTCTTGTCAGGAAGCATGTAACAGCTTTATGGCTTTCAGGTCCGTCATCCCCACAACACCTCATTCCTAAACTTTCTCTTCTTAGTGGTCACTAGGGTCCTGGCTGACTGGTGCATAGCTGGACAGACAGATGGACAAGTGAGCAGGGTCACCTCTTGCCTAGCAGCCCTCACTTACTTCTGTTGTTCTGTAAGGTCCTGCCACATCTTCTTGCTATTCTTTCTTCATCTTAAGAGGCCATTTAAGAGGCTTCTTAAGAGGCCAGGTTTCCAGCTAAAATTTCTAAATGTTAGTATAAACAGAGTGACTTTTGAGTCCATAGAAGCATTTAATAAATATAGAGTTGGAATTACACTCAACTCTTTTGTTTAATTGGTATGTGAAATGATAAGATTATAACAGTAACAGTAATTGTCTAAGTTGGACTCTATGATGTTTTTAAGTAACATTTACATTTTCCTATTGTTTCTTCTTTCTGTTTATTATTTCAATAAATTATACGTGTAATTAAAAAAAAAGAGGCCAGAAAGCTATACAGGCTTTCTGATTATATGAGAGTATGTGGAGTTCTCCCCTACCTCTGGCCCAACTCTTGCAACTTCTCTGGCCTGAAACTTTCTTTACCCTCCGGTTCCTCACAAGTCATGATCCTTTTCAACCTTATTTCTCAGAGTACACTGCACTTCCAAATGCTTAGCAGATCACTGTATCTAATGAAGTCTTTTTTTCACGGGCCATTTTTATCCATAAGGATAGCACACTGTTTTTAAATTACTCTTTCGTTTTGTTTAATGGTCAATTGTCTGTCTCTCCACAGGGTTTATTATCCTCGGGGGTAGGATCCATGCCTATGTTAATCTCTTTTATATGCGCAGCCTCTAGTAGAAGGGATGGCACAATAGTAGACAGCCACATAATCACTGGTGGAGCACAGAAAGAGCTGCTGTAT